AAAATGCCCAAAGTTTCTAATGTAGTAAACAGAGACCGCGGTTCCAAACCCAGGATTGGTCCGCTGTGTACGGACAACAGGAGGAATGTTTCGGAATGTTCCGCCCAGGGCATTGGTTTGGGAAAACCTCAGCTTCATGATCACAGTCGCTCCAACGGCCGACTCTCTTCCAAAAGTTCAGGAAAACCGTTGGCGTTTCACGCAGCGAGGCACAGACCCTCGTCCGACAGTCAGGTGAAAACAGACCCGGGCCGAGGGGGCGTGTCCATGTCCACCAGACTGTTGGACAGGTCTTCTGTCCAAAAGGACACTTCCTGTCAGACTCAGACTCACCAAGGCATTTCACATGAGGCGCTCCAGAAGTCCACCATGGAACACTTGGGTAGGTCTTTCAAAGAGGCCACCATCAACCTGGTCCGGACCACCAAAGACCTGCGGGCCTCGGAAAAACTACTTCATAACTCCGCCCAGGACCGCTTGTGGATTAAGTCCTCGTACCAAGACAGTGATGGATACTGTCCCGACCTGGAACTCAGCGACTCAGAGACTGACTCAAAAGGGAGGCACCGTCATCCGGCCGCTACCGGTCACGGAAAATCCTCTGTGAGCTCCAGACATGCAACACAAAGGTGACACGGGCCACAGCTTTTTATTTTTCTATACAACTGGACCAGGAGCTGGAGCTGAAACCAGACCCGGAGTCGGAGTTAGAACTGGATCTGGAGTGACACTAATGGAGCTGAACACCTGCAGATGTTTGAAATGATGCAGAATAAAATGTTTCTGAGAAAAATGGTTCTGAGTTTTTATATTATTTTTAAAGGTCCGGTCTGTAGTTTTTCTATTACTGTTAAAGGTCTGGTCTGTAGATTTTACGTTATTGTTAAAGGTCCAGTCTGTAGTTTTCTCTGTGCACATATATTAGCAATTTATATATAAAGATGGTAGATAAAAGATGGATCACAAATCTATATAAAATAGTAATGTATATTAAAGATGCAATAGATATATATATATGAGATCATTTGTTAACAGAAAATATATAACTACCTATAGATTGCCTGATGGTGGAGAGCAGAACTGTTCCTTTAAGAACAGTTCAGTGATCAGCTGCTCATGCTGTAGTCTCCGCCTTATCCTGTTGTCTTCACAGTCCTCGGTCCTGCTGCTGCTCCTCACAGTCCTCCTTCTGCTGATCTTTATCTGCATTTGAGATGAAAGTAGAGTGTAAAGAATGACCATGGGGGGCGCTACTGCTGCTGCACACACCAACTCAGCTCTGGTTCAGATTCTTTCAGTGTAAGTTGAGGAACGTTCTGTTCAGGTAACTGATATCATCACAATGACACTACCTGCTTGTGTGTGCTTTGGTGATGTTCCATGATTCAAATGTTTCAATGATCTAAGCTAATATTTCCAGGAGTGTAACATTTTGCTACTTCTTGGCTAACAGTTAGCTGTTGTTCGGCTAAATGTATTTTCAGTGGGTTAAATGTGTATGTTGTGGTTTTGTATGGCTCAGTGTATAAAAAAAACCCCAAGATGGATGTGTGGATGAGTCTCCTCCCACCTCCCCTATGGGACACGCCCCTTTTCAACTTGGCAATTCCAGGTAAGAAAACGGCCATATGCTAACACCTGATTCTGTTTTCTTGTACCTGGCACTTCCCAGTAAGCCATCAGCGTTTTGTCCTTTAGGAAGTCACAACAGCGCCACCTACAGTCTGGACCTGGACCACAGTTCGCCTGTGGACCTCACTCAACCAGACCTGCTACAGAAGCTTGACAAGTATCTGAAACCAGTCATCAGACCATTTGTCTATAAATGGGCCGTAGCACAGGTACTAGACTCGAGGAACAATCAGTACTGCAGTGGCAGAACTCTAAGGAGTACCACAAGTATCTGGTACCACAGTCACAGGAACCAGGACGTGGGAACAAATCACAGTAGTCAATGGATTAGAGCTAACATTTTCATAAGGTTTTAGTGCTAAAGCTCTGCCCTAGTGGTCACATTGGGAACAGCAGGGCTGTATGTTTGAAAAGTGAGTCCTGACACTGGTGTGTGTGTGTGTGTGTGTGTGTGTGAGTGTGTGTGTGTGTGTGTGTGTGTGTGAGTGTGTGTGTGTGTGTGTGTGTGTGTGGGTGTGTGTGTGTGTGTGTGGGGGTGTGTGTGTGTGTGTGTGTGTGGGTGTGTGTGTGTGTGTGTGTGTGTGTGTCTGTGTGTGTGTGTCTGTGTGTGTGTGTCTCTGTGTGTGTGTCTCTGTGTGTGTGTGTCTGTGTGTGTGTGTGTGTGTGTGTTTGTGTCTCTGTGTGTGTGTCTCTGTGTGTGTGTGTCTGTGTGTGTGTGTGTGTGTCTGTGTGTGTGTCTGTGTGTGTGCATGCATGCGTGTTTCCAAAGGAGTTAACCATGGCACAGCAGCTGGACTCTGGGGTCAGATACTTTGACCTTAGGGTTGCTCACAGACCCAACGACATGACCTCTGACCTCTACTTTTACCACGGTGTTTACACCATAGTCACTGTTCAGGTATATTCACATTGTCTTTTACACCATTCACATCAACATTCCACCCTTCACTGTGACAGTGTCTGTGGTCTGGTCTGTGCTCAGACCGTTCTGATGGAGATCTGTCAGTGGTTGGACCTTCATCCCACAGAGGTTCTCATCCTGTCCTTCAGCCACTTCCTGTGTCTCAGTCCAGAACTTCACTGTCTGCTCATCAGCACCATCTGCAGGATTTTCACCCACAAACTCTGTCCAACCACGGTAGGACCACCAACACAGCGCCCTCTGTTGTTCAGCTGTTTCAGCCTTTAGCCCTTCCTGCTAACCTTCGGCCCCTGCCTCCTAGTTGTTGCTCCACTTTCCTTCATCCTGAGCTGTATTTTTCTGACTGTTGTTTTACCGTTGTATTTCTTCAGGCGCCGTTGACTCTGCGGAGCCTCTGGTCCCACAGGTTCCAGGTCATCGTCTCATACCAACACGGCCTGGCCTCTGGACACAGCCATCTGTGGACGCACATCCCCTACTGGTGGGCCAATAAGAGCCGAGCTGATCATCTCATCCAGGAGTTGGAGCTTCGAAAGCAGCAGGGACGACCAGGTGAGCCCCCAATCCCCACCCTCCATCCATCTATTCATTAGATGGACAGGGGCAACAGGGGGCGCTGACGGCATAGTCAGCTCTGTGTTGATGAGGAACCTCTGCTGTTTTTCAGGAGGGTTCTTTGTGACGGGGATGAACCTGACGGTGGACCTGAAGTACATCTGCTCTCACCCCACTCAGTCTCTAAAGGACCTGGTCATGTCCACCTACCCCACAATGCTGGGCTGGATTCAGGACCAAAGCCCTGGGTCTGGGCCCGACTCACTGAACATCATCGCAGGCGACTTTGTGTCAGAGTGGAACCTGAGCTCAGCTGTGATTGGTCTGAACCACAAGCTGCTCACAGCAGAAGTTTGAACTACAAACCCAAACCAATTAGAGTTGAGGTGCAGATGGATGTCATCAATCAAAGTTTAAGGGGAGTGTATAATTTTGTTATTGTGCGACATAGATGTCCCCTGCTGGCTGTAAAACCACAGCCACCATGAAAAAGTGGACTTCACAAAAAACAAGTATGAATATAATATAATATATATATTATATAAGTATAAATGAAGAAAATACCAGTTCAGATATTTCCTGTTAGCCTTTAACTTTTAGTCTAAAATCATTTTTATAGTTTGAGCTGCTCTTTGGGGGCAGCTAGCATCTACTGCAGTCTCTCTGAAACAGCAGTGGAATATTAAGATCAAAGGTCGAAATGTGTTGTTTCATAGTTCAAAGACTTTTCAACACAATGAAACAAACACTTTAGCTTTATTGATCTGAACTAGTTTTAGCCCCCCACCCACCCACCCACAGACACACCTGCAGTTCAGATGAGTGAGATCTGATGGATTGAACCTTGGGTGGAGGGTGTGGGGGAGGTTAGACTCTGAACAGTGTCTTCTTTTTCACAAATGTTTGACAATAACAACCAACAACTGGATCAACATCACAGTTTTAATGTAAACCATGAGGGGAACATAGACATCAATAACTATTACCATAACTACTAGTTTTACCACAACTACTGACTGATGTTATCACATGTACATATACATATATATACATATATATATATGTAACTGATGATAGTTCTTCACCTCCGTCACCAGAGTTGAAGAGAATCAATGTGAACATGTCATTGATGAAGATCAAAGACGGTTCATGGACTAGTGACGTGTCGGAGCTGCCGCAGCTTCTCTGCAGCTGGTTCTGGTTCTATCAACGATGTCTTCGCAGAGAAAGCTGGCGTCTGAGTGACTGCGTCTCCTTCTCCGTGGTCATCTGTCCATCTGTGGACCTTCTCCGATCTGAGGGTTTGGAGGTGGACACTGTCCATACTGAACTTCCTGCTGCATCACTGCTGCTGCTGCCGTGGCTGTGACGGTGGTCGTCTGAGCTGAAGATCATCTTCATCATCAGAGCAGAGAAGGAGAGAGAAGATGATGAAGATGATGTTGGAGCGGAGACTAAGAACACTTTGATTTATGTCTGTTTATTCAGACATGTTCTACCAGCAGGAGGCAGTCACAGCTTTGTATAGAACCTTTGATGTCACATGACTCTCATAGTCATTCAGACCAGTGAGATACTCACCCCAGGCCCTGCCCTCTGTTCTCTCACACACACTTTCTTGTGGAAGGCCTCTGTGAGCTCCGGGATGGTACCGATGCGGTTGTCCGTCGAGTCGGCCGTCGGTCGACTGTTGTCGTCGGAAGAGGTGCGTCGCGCTCTCTGGTGACCTCTGACCTCAGGCGTGTGACTGGAGGCAGAGGCCACAGCAGCTGCGTGGAGTCTGTTCAACCTCATGGCGTCCAACTGAGACTGGAGAAGAGGAAGGAGAAAATAAATGACAACCAGGTCTAAAGGTCATCGAGGTCAAACTCAACATCACAGACCATGCTCCAAGTTCAAACCACACTCAATAAAAGGTGGATATATTTTATATCTTGACCCTGACCTGTGGAAGTACTAGTTAAAAACGGTTGATCTTTTCATTGCAAACTAATGTAAATTGATCCTAATCTGTTCTAAAGTATAATCTAATTGAACTGAATCAAATCCTAATAATCCAACCTCGTCCAACTTAATCTGATCTAATCTAACCTAACAGATACTTTAGGACAAACCAGGAAGTGACTCTGGCTGGAGCTGACAACCACTGGTTGTTTGGTCTTTGTTGACAACATCATAAACAGTAAAATAATTTCTTCTTCTGTCCTCACCACAGTTGGCAGCGACGCCCTTCGATCCACATGTGTTTTAGGGTTTTTCCTGAAACTGCGTTTCCTGGAAGCTCCGCCCTCGGCACCATGACCCCAGTAACTGCTCATCCACTTGGTGAAATTTCCATCGTCATCATCCTCGTTGTCTGTGCTGAAGGCAGGAAGAAGACGCAGCGACATCAGTCCAGTCCACGTCCTGGAGCTGTGACAAGGAAACAGAACCGGTCCTTGTCCCAGGCTGCTCTGAGGGATCTCACTGATCTGGATCCTGGTCCCAGGCTGCTCCGTCCTTTTGTGGGCGGAGCATGGTTCAGGCCTGAGGACACACAATAGTTTCCACTGACTCCATCACTGCTGTCAATATTAATGAAGGACAGGCTTCAATATGCCTGTGCACATCTGTGCACGTCAGTGGGTGACATTCATTTAAGAAATGACATCATACATAATAAATATACTACACTGATCAATCATTTAATATCAGAACATTTTCGTCTTTGATGAGATGAGATCTGAACACACACACAGACACACACACTCAGAGGTACAGTTGATATTGTGCTGGTTCTGTTTAGAGGACAAACAGCCTGTGGGTAAATTGAACCACAGTGTCAGACACACACACACAAATATAGACTGACAGAAAAAAACGTTTCCAACCAAATATTAACAGTATAATATACATACTACATATACTAGATAATAACAGTATTGCAGTATTATTATCCTCCTGTAGGTGGCTTTGAATACAAATGTACATTAAAAGATGTAAAATAGATTTTATGACAGAAAAAAATAAAAACAAATGACTGTTTTCATCTGAATCTTCCACAAAGAGTTGTCTTTTAAACCATTGAAGTGAATAATAACATGTCTTATGGTATTAGTGCTAGAATCTTTATTTTGGCATTTTTGTTCAAAATTCCAGAATGTTCTGCCTAGTTTTGAAGAGTCCTATGCAACCCTTCTTCTTTTGGCTGTTAGGCTGTGTCATCTTCATCAAATCTTCTCTGGTGTCCACCTTAATTGTTCCTCTCATCTGATAATCCAGACACTTCCGCCACTTTTCTTCACCTATTTGACCAAATGTTGTGATAAAACGTTACTCTACCTAAATATTCCATGTGTTTTATTCGTTGAAAGGCGAATAGTTTGGTAGTATCGGCAATGAGAGTTTGTTTTAATTAATTAAAACTAAACAATCATTAAATGCTAGGGTGCAATCAGCCCTCAGCAATTCACATTTTCCCATAATACCTCACTGCATCGATAAGAGAGCGTTGACCCTTTCTTTTCCGGCTGTCGTTCCTCCTCTTCCTGTTCCTGCTCACGCTGTCGCTGGAGCTCCGGCTAACGGCTAACAGCTAACAGTTCACAGTTCACACATCATGGCCGCCTCGAAGCCAGTGGAGCCACAGTCCGGTAGCGGACTCCCCCGCTGGCAGCTGGCGCTGCTGGTCGGGACACCTATCGTATTGGGTGTCGGAGCTGTTTATCTGTGGAACCGCAGCAGGACGAAGCAAAGGAAAGGTACTGGAGAACGGAAAACCCCAGAAGGCAGCGCCAGCCCCGTGCAGCAGGGCCAGGACGGTGAAGCCCGGAGTGGCCGAGAGCAAGACAACACGGTAGGGAAACAAAGTTGATTTGTTGCCGCTGCCCTGCTAAGGAGGGAGTTGTCATTGTGTTCTGGTTTTTACCCCGGGGTTAATGTGGAGAAAGGAGAGTCAAGGACAACAGACATGACTGACGCTGTCACTGACAGCTACCGTAGCAATGGCGAAAAGAGCCGAGAGTTACCGGGAAATAACGAGAGTTCAGGGCAGAAGAACACAGTGATGCGGAAACCCGATGCTATCACAGTTTATTGTTACTTTCATAGTAAGAGTTAGTGTTCGATACTGACGTTGCTGTAAACAGTTAATAATGCTGGAAACAATTGACATGGTTGTCGACAGAGCCAAGACACCCGACAGCCATGAAATGACCGAGAGCTACCGGCTAGTAGTGTTAGGTTGAGCGCCAGATGTCTTGTGATTTCACCAAATTGTAAAACCAAATGTCTGCAGATTTTCTTAAAAAATGGAAGTTACGGACGTCAGGACTGTACCAGTCAAAAACCACCGCACGTATCTTCCTGCCTGGTTTGAATTTGAGCTTGCACTGTTAGCTAATTAGCGGATACCAGCAGTGGCTTTTGTCGGTAACCCTCGGCTCTTTCCGGCACTGCTACCGTAGCAGTCAGTGACAGCGTCTGTCACTTATGCTTTCCTGGACTCTCCTCTCTGAAACTCAAGGTTGGGAAAAGTAATTATGTTGTAAGTATAAAAATCAAATTTAAAATCATTTAAAGAATACGTTAAAATGGCTATTATGTAGCAATTTAGATTTTTAGATATTATTATACCAACATAGATAAGCAGATGTTCAGTTCCCGAATTCTGTGAGTTTATTCTGCAGTGTTAAAGCTGTGGCCCCGTCGTTCACCCTGGTCTGTTAAATTAATAATAAATCAGATAGTTTTTTTAATTCAACATAAATCATCTAACAATGATAATCTTAATAAAAGGTAAAAGTTTTTTTTCATTTTTATTTTATGTTGGTTCTATATCAGGTGTTCAGTGATCAGACAAAATTACATCAGGGTTTTTACTTTTTACATTCTTTACAAAACTACCACGTGGTCAAGTACAGTACAGTGTAGTACAGTTAAGTACTGTGCTAAATGATAACAAAGTAAAACATACACATGTCTCCGTCTCTCATATTTGTGCAGAGTCCTTTGGACCGAGCCCAGGCGGCAAAGAACAAAGGTAACAAGTACTTCAAGGCAGGAAAATACGAGAACGCCATCCAGTGTTACACGGAAGCCATTGCAGTGTGTCCTCTGGAGCAGAAGACGGATCTGTCCACGTTCTACCAGAACAGAGCAGCAGCCTACGAGCAGCTGGTTAGCATCTACTCATCAAGGTTTACAGTCTGCACACTCTCAGCTGTGGCTCCACCTGTCTGGTTAATGTGTAACTGCAACACTTGGACCATAGGTTGAAGCTAAAGGTTAATGATGAGAAGCAGTTTGCTCAATGAACAGACACTGGTTTAATGAACCACAGCTGTTGTGACATAATCAGATCCTGGTCCACTACTGCCTTCTGTGGTCATTCTGTGTCACTGAGGTCAATCCAACAGTAAAGTCAGAACTTGTTAGAACTCAGTGGATCAACAGCTGCTGAGTCTGAGAGAAAATCACTGTTTTTCTCTATGAGGTTTGGTGTGTGTGTGGAGGGGGGGTGATTGTGCTGTTGTTTTTTGGCGGTGACCTTCTGCACCATCATTTTCATCTTCATCATTTGTCTTTCAGATGAAGTGGGCTGAAGTGGTCCAGGACTGTTCTCAAGCCGTGGAGCTGAACCCACGATATGTCAAAGCTCTGTTCAGGAGAGCCAAAGCTCTGGAAAAGTTGGACAACAAGAAGGAGTGTTTAGAAGGTGAAAAGCTGGTTCTTCTTCTGACTCGGGCTGGTGTTCTCCTTCACTGATGCTCACTGCGTGTCTCTGGTTCTGGTTCTTCCAGATGTGACGGCCGTTTGTATTCTGGAAACCTTCCAGAACCAACACAGCATGTTGTTAGCAGACAAAGTTCTGAAGCAGCTGGGCAAAGAGAAGGCCAAGGAGAAATACAAGGTTTGGTTCTACATTCTCCACTGAAAACCTGTGCTCTTTTATCCTCTTTAACCTCCTCCTCCTGCTGTAGAACCGAGAGCCCATGATGCCATCTCCTCAGTTCATCAAGTCGTACTTCAGCTCCTTTACAGATGACATCATCTCTCAGCCGCTGCAGAAAGGTGAGAAGAAAGACGAGGACAAGGACAAAGAGGGGGAGACAGCAGAGGTTCAAGAGAGGTGAGAGAGAAGAAGATGTCCGCTGAGCTGTGACACAAATTCGATTAGACTCTCTTCCTCACCTGTCTTCTCCTCCTCACCCCTCCCCCACCCCCAGCTCTGGTTACCTCAAGGCCAAGCAGTACATGGAGGAGGAGAACTACGACAAGATCATCAGTGAGTGCACCAAGGAGATCCAGTCTGGAGGTCGTTTCTTAGCTGAGGCTCTGCTCCTCAGAGCCACCTTCTTCCTCCTGATCGGAAACTCCACCGCTGCTCAACCTGACCTGGACCGGGTCATCAACATGCAGGAGGCCAATGTTAAGGTCGGCACTCATCCATCCATCCATGTTTCTTCATCAAACTGAGTTCACGGCTGAGTGACAGGTCTGTTGAACCGTTCTAGGTTCTACAGGAACATGTCACTGGTTGAAGAACCTGGAATCATCAATACTGTCTTTTTCTTCTGGTTTTCATTTTTTACTTTTCTTCTTCACTGGTTTCTAAATGTGTTCTGATCCTGATCGACTGGTTGAGCCTGAGATCAGGGGATGTTTCTCCTCTGATCCAATCACACTGAGTCGGTCTCTCTGTCTGACCTGCAGCTGCGCGCCAACGCTCTAATCAAACGTGGCAGTATGTACATGCAGCAACAGCAGCCCCTACTGTCCACACAGGATTTTAACATGGCTGCCGACATCGACACACGGAACCCGGACGTCTACCATCACAGAGGACAGGTACGGAGGTCCAACCTGTCCCATCTGGCACTCCCTCAGCCATCCTCTCTCCTACCTAAATATGCGAAAGTAATGCTGCCCCCAACAGTTACTGGGTGGAAAGAGAAAAAGAAAGATGTTACTCACACAGAAGCTTCATTTAAAAAAAAAAAAAAAAAATTTATGTTGAATTCTACTGGTCCAAATGGTCCTCCTGGTCCAAATGGTTCTGCTGGTCCTACTGGTCCTAACCCGCCATATCTTACTGTACTTGACTAAATCATGGACAATAATCTGGTTAATCCTAACAATTTCTTCGTGCCTCATTGTCTTCTGTGATGACATGGACTGATGGTATATTTGAATAAATGTTCCTGCAGCTGAAGATCCTGTTGGACCAGGTGGACGAGGCCGTGGGAGACTTTGACGAGTGCATCCTGCTGCGACCAGACTCTGCTTTGGCACAGGCCCAGAAGTGCTTCGCTCTGGTGAGACGGTTGTCTGTTTCTTTACTGTCCACACAGGAGATGATGATGATGATGATGATGATGATGATGATGATGATGATGATGATGATGATGATGATGATGATGATGATGATGATGATGATGATGATGATGATGATGATGATGATGATGATGATCCTTCACTGATGCTCACTGCGTGTCTCTGGTTCTGGTTCTTCCAGATGTGACGGCCGTTTGTATTCTGGAAACCTTCCAGAACCAACACAGCATGTTGTTAGCAGACAAAGTTCTGAAGCAGCTGGGCAAAGAGAAGGCCAAGGAGAAATACAAGGTTTGGTTCTACATTCTCCACTGAAAACCTGTGCTCTTTTATCCTCTTTAACCTCCTCCTCCTGCTGTAGAACCGAGAGCCCATGATGCCATCTCCTCAGTTCATCAAGTCGTACTTCAGCTCCTTTACAGATGACATCATCTCTCAGCCGCTGCAGAAAGGTGAGAAGAAAGACGAGGACAAGGACAAAGAGGGGGAGACAGCAGAGGTTCAAGAGAGGTGAGAGAGAAGAAGATGTCCGCTGAGCTGTGACACAAATTCGATTAGACTCTCTTCCTCACCTGTCTTCTCCTCCTCACCCCTCCCCCACCCCCAGCTCTGGTTACCTCAAGGCCAAGCAGTACATGGAGGAGGAGAACTACGACAAGATCATCAGTGAGTGCACCAAGGAGATCCAGTCTGGAGGTCGTTTCTTAGCTGAGGCTCTGCTCCTCAGAGCCACCTTCTTCCTCCTGATCGGAAACTCCACCGCTGCTCAACCTGACCTGGACCGGGTCATCAACATGCAGGAGGCCAATGTTAAGGTCGGCACTCATCCATCCATCCATGTTTCTTCATCAAACTGAGTTCACGGCTGAGTGACAGGTCTGTTGAACCGTTCTAGGTTCTACAGGAACATGTCACTGGTTGAAGAACCTGGAATCATCAATACTGTCTTTTTCTTCTGGTTTTCATTTTTTACTTTTCTTCTTCACTGGTTTCTAAATGTGTTCTGATCCTGATCGACTGGTTGAGCCTGAGATCAGGGGATGTTTCTCCTCTGATCCAATCACACTGAGTCGGTCTCTCTGTCTGACCTGCAGCTGCGCGCCAACGCTCTAATCAAACGTGGCAGTATGTACATGCAGCAACAGCAGCCCCTACTGTCCACACAGGATTTTAACATGGCTGCCGACATCGACACACGGAACCCGGACGTCTACCATCACAGAGGACAGGTACGGAGGTCCAACCTGTCCCATCTGGCACTCCCTCAGCCATCCTCTCTCCTACCTAAATATGCGAAAGTAATGCTGCCCCCAACAGTTACTGGGTGGAAAGAGAAAAAGAAAGATGTTACTCACACAGAAGCTTCATTTAAAAAAAAAAAAAAAAAATTTATGTTGATTTCTACTGGTCCAAATGGTCCTCCTGGCCCAAATGGTTCTGCTGGTCCTACTGGTCCTAACCCGCCATATCTTACTGTACTTGACTAAATCATGGACAATAATCTGGTTAATCCTAACAATTTCTTCGTGCCTCATTGTCTTCTGTGATGACATGGACTGATGGTATATTTGAATAAATGTTCCTGCAGCTGAAGATCCTGTTGGACCAGGTGGACGAGGCCGTGGGAGACTTTGACGAGTGCATCCTGCTGCGACCAGACTCTGCTTTGGCACAGGCCCAGAAGTGCTTCGCTCTGGTGAGACGGTTGTCTGTTTCTTTACTGTCCACACAGGAGATGATGATGATGATGATGATGATGATGATGATGATGATGATGATGATGATAACAACGACAACGCTGCCTTGTGACCTGTTGATGTTGTTGATCCGTCCAGTACAGACAGGCGTACACAGGAAACAACCCTGCTCAGGTACAGACGGCCATGGACGGCTTTGAGGATGTCATCAGGAGGTTTCCCAAATGTGCAGAGGGCTATGCCCTCTACGCCCAGGTGTGGTGTTGACATATGACACTGCTGACATCATAGCTAGCCTCTGACCTCTGTGTGTGACCTCTGGCCTCACTGATGTGTTCTGTGCTTCAGGCTTTGACAGATCAACAGCAGTTTGGAAAAGCAGACGAAATGTATGACAAGTGCATTGAACTGGAACCAGACAACGCTACCACATATGTCCACAAGGGGTAAGAAGAGAGTCTTGTTCCTGCTGTGCCTGGTACTAATTCAGCAATTAGATAAAAGTAGACTGACCATGTGACGGGCAGAGTTTGCGGTCAGTATGACATCATCACAGTGTGACATCAGCAGCATTGATCAGTTGTCAGTTGATTCTGTTGGGACCGTTTGCTGCTAATGGAGTTAGCTGGAACTGTTTGTCTTGTTGTGCAGGTTGTTACAGCTGCAGTGGAAACAGGATCTGGACCAGGGTCTAGAACTCATTAGTAAAGCCATTGAAATTGATAATAAGTGTGACTTTGCTTACGAGACGATGGGAACCATTGAAGTCCAGAGGTAAGATGATCCTGCAGTGCAGCAGTACATGTTCTTCTGAGGATGATGGTACTGATGGTACTGGTGTTTTTCAGGGGGAACCTGGACAAGGCTATTGAGATGTTTAACAAGGCCATCAATCTGGCCAAGTCGGAAATGGAGATGGCTCATCTGTACTCACTCTGTGACGCAGCCTATGCTCAGACTGAAGTGGCTCGCAAGTACGGCCTCAAACCCCCGACCCTCTAACTCTGTCTGCATATCCAGTGTGTTCATATCTTAGGAGAACCAACAGCGCTCAGACACCTTGACCCCACATGTGTAATTCTGTTCATGTTCAGTGTTTCTGATGGTTTTATTTGCTCTGCCACTGGGAGTCGCTGTTCAGGCTTCAACTGGATCATTAAACCTAATCTATCCCAAAACAGCACTTTTATAAAGGAAAAGTTCAGATGTGTGACGTCCATCACTGAATAACTGTCCCTGCACCAAACCTCATAGAGAAAATAATAGATTTTAGCTCAGAGTCTCAGCAGCAGTTGATCCACTGCTGCATCCATCACTGAGTTCTAAAGAGTTCCTCTGTGGCTTCACCACTGTTTAAAATCCTTTAGATTTACCTCAGTGACAAAGTGACCACATGAGGCAGCAGTGGAGCAGCAGTTTCTTTGTCTCTGTGAACTAATGTCACTGGAGTTCTCTTTGATATGGAACACTGAGGGAAGGTGTTAGATCACGATGGAGCAGACCTAAACTGTCCCCAAAAACCATGACTTTGTTGATGTGAAGAAAAACCTAAAGGGTTAAATAAAGTCCAGTCGAATCTTGAGAACCAAGAGTTAAACAGACCAGAAGTCTGGTTGAATGAACAGAAGAACCGGAGCGTCCACTTCCTGTCAGCCGTGGAGCAGCGTTAAAATGGTGTCTAGCCTGTCTGTGATGGAGGCGTTGAACCCGCACACCTTCCTCAAGTGTAGAGCACAGATTTGCCTGTTTTCTGTTGTAAAGCTAGTGCAGCATGTCCATGTTATAAACCATGTGAATGTAATGCCTGCTGTTGTCAACAATGCGACATGAAAAAAAACCTTTTGTTGAAAATGTTTTCGTTGAATTTGGCACCTGTTTTTTTATAACTCAAGGAGAAGATTTATTTTCTATTTAGTTGTAAAATGTGTTTTAGGTCCATTTGATTGGTTTGGTTAAGTTTAAACTGGAACTTGGTTCACATGAATTTGGTTCTTCAGTAGCTTTTGTGGTGTCATAAATGTTTGGGTTAGAAATCAGCGCCCCCTGCTGCTCCTGTTCATTCACTGACCACTCTCTGCTCTTCTTAAAGAAATACCTTTTTGATTTTCACCTGCAACTGTTCAAGGCTCATCTTCTAAATCGGTGTCGTCTGAAAACCCAAGGCAAGTGTACTGTGACCAAAGTTAACCAAAATAAAGTTCTGATTCCTAACGAAACACCCGCCTGTGTGATTTCTGAAAAACTACTGATTTCATTTCAGTCAAAAATGCAGTCATTATTCCACTTCGAATTGTTTTAAATGCTGCTGTCACTTCTGAACTTTCCGTAGTTCTTGTTTGGTTGATGCGATTAGTGATATGTCGTTCGCGAGTGAGTCGTTCAAAATGAACGAATCTTTTATATGAGTCGTGACTCCCGAGTCATATGAAAGTTTCGTGACTCGTGACTACCGAGTCATATTAAATATTTATTCATATTGAACTCACGAATCACTCACAGCGAACTAATCACTCACTGCGAACAAATCACTCTCTGCAAACTAATCTTTCACTACGATCTAATTACTCTGCAAACTAATCTTTCACTGTGAACTAATACATCATTGCAAACGAATCACTCTCTATGAACTAATCTTTCGCCGTGAACAAATCTTTCGCCGTGAACTAATCTTTTGCTGTGAACTTAACACTCTAAACGGATCATTCTCTGTGAACTAATCTTTCGCCTCGTTCTCGCAGATTCGTTTCATTTGTCACGTGAAAGAGCTCGGGTCTTTTTTGCGCTCATTCATCTTCACATTGTGGTGTGTTTTTATTTCTTAGCTTTTCACATGGTTTTAATTACTTATGGCATTTTGTGTACTTTGTAGACTTTGTCAGCGGAAGCAAACCATGTTGCCTTATTTAGTGTCGGAGAACCGCAGCCTTCTTTACAACGCCCACAATAGGGCTAAAGCGCCACCTGCTGTAAAACGAATGGAATGATTAGTTCAAGATTCGTTCACGACTCGTCCATTTTACTGTTCGAGAGTCAAAGATTCGAATCAATAAAAAGAGTCGGTCTTCCCATCACTAGATGCGATGTGTCTTTACGACAGTTGACGACAGTGACATGTCTACGTCATCACAACATGGCGGACGCCTCGGAGGAAGTTCTTCCAAGCAATCTGTGAGAGCTTTTTGTTCTTTTAATGACTGTAATTTTCTATATATACATATATATAAACATATATATTTATATTATTCTGTAACCGATGTCAGAAAGTAACCATTACGCAGCCATGGCACTAATACGTGTGACATTACAAAATACCGTAGTTTCTTCGTAGGCTAACAGCAGATGCTAACTGAGTCAGATCAAGTGGTTTTGTTCTCTAAATTTTAACAGCAGCTAAAAAGAGATTGGTTAAAAAGCTATAAATGAGCTTTTCTGTCTGGGTTTAAATCGAATGTGTGCACAGTTTGCATGATACAGCGTTTGTGTGTGTTAGCTAAAGAGCTATCAGGAAGTAGCTTTATCTGATCATCAGCTGTTTTACAAAAAATGGTCCCTAGACATGTTAGTGACCAGGTGAGGTCATGGCTCCAACAGGAAAAACATCGTTATTTATACGGTTAATAAATTGGTATATTTGACTTATTTGTATGTTTACCTCAATAAAACTAGTGACGAGACTTGTGTAAACTATTGTGACTGGCCAAGTGATCCAGAAACAAAATGGTACTAGAACCTTACACAGGTGCAGATCCATCTGGTTTCTTGATTGATCGGTAGCGGATTATTTTCTCACTGATGACACAAATCTAACTCGTTGTTTATTCCTGTGCTCTCTCTCTTTTTTCTCCCCTCTTTTCCTCCACCTATGCTGTCTCCCCACTCTCCCCTCTCCCTCTCCTTCTCTCTTCATCAACACTGATTCCTGATCTGCTGCAGATTTGTGACATTTATCTTGCTCTACTCTGTATCGTTAATAACGAACCTTAAACATGGCTGTAAAAACATTTATCTACTGTGAAATCGTTTTAGGGAGGACATTGTTGACAAGTTTTATTTCAGGTCTTGTTCCAAACTGAGTCAGAGGTGATTGTGACTGACTTGACAACACTGCCCTCTCCTGTTTCAGAAGGAACCAGGAAGTGACACAGGCTCTGGACACTGTTGGTTCAGACTCAGAGATGGAGCCTGGTTTCCAAGGAAACCAGGAGAATCTGCTTCAACATAGAGCCCAGACTTGGATGGTGAGGACCCCCCGCTCCCCCCTACACACACACACACGATCTGATGTTTAAACCAAGAACAAGTCTGTCCAATCACAGTCTGAACATTTTCAGTCCAATTCTCACTAGTTGATTAGAACTAGTTAATGACAACGACTTTTACTCATTTGTCAACAGTGTGGCATCAAAACAGTTCAGTCTGATTTTTTTGCTATATTTTGTGTATTTACTGTGGCTTCACTTCCTGTTTGGTGCAGACCAGAGAACTGTATGTGGGTGTGTCACCACACACGCCCAGTGATTTCAGGAAGTGATACCGGTTCTTCCGGCCAAGTCCTGTTCTTTTTATTAATGAAAATCTTTGACCTAACATGTGACCTGCCGACCCTGACTCCTCTGTTGACAGGCTGCTCTCAATGTCTGTGGTAAAGGAGACTCTTTGTCTTCCTGGGACGGTTCCCTAGACTTACCAGAACAAGAGCTCATCCACAGCTGCAGTCAGCAGCTGGTTGGTGAGTCCTCCTCTGCTTTTCCTCCACTGTTCTTCACGGCTGTTCCAGGACTTTTCTCACACATTTCTCTGTTCTCCAGATGAGCTGGGATTCTCTGAGGAAGAGGCTGAAGAGGTGAGGTCAGACGTGGAGTCCATCATCACTTTTTACTGTAAGTCACGAACAGTGACCTTCAGTCCACGACTGAGCTGGACGTATGTCCTCAAACCTCTGCTGCTGCTCAGGCTGCAGCGCAGTGACCTGTACAACTGTTTCTACGCTGTGGTCAACAAGTACACCCCCAGGTCTGACACACACACACACACACACACACACACACACAACCTGTAAAACTGAAATGCTATGGTCAACAAGCTCACAGATCTGACCGACAGGTGTGTGTGTGTGTGTGTGTGTGTTTTCAGGGAGTGTGTGCTGAACTCTACGTCCTTCCACCTCTTCCGTCTGCTGCTCCAGTATCATGAGCCTGAGCTCTGCTCCTTCCTGGACACCAAGAAGATCACACCAGACTGTTACTGCATCAGCTGGGTCAGTCTGTTGACTGATTATAGGCTGTTAACATCAGGGTCTGTTGTCGTTATAGTCAGTCTTTGTGATGGTCTGTTGTTATGGGCTGTTGTTGTTGTTTATATGATCTGTTATATGACTTATGGGTCCATAATCTAGTGCTTTCCAGAGGAACTACACCTTAATGTTGCTGTAAATGTACATTATTATTGTTATTCATCTGTTTGAACTCTAGTAGTAGTTTGGATGTAGGAACTGTTGGTTGATGACAGCAAACTGGGCTCTAACTGTTTTCTGTGTCCTGCGAAGCTGGGCAGCCTGTTCTCCAGTCACTGTCTCCCTGAAGTCACTCAGTGTCTGTGGGACCTGTACCTGCAGCAGAGCGACGCCTTCCTCGTCTTCTTCCTCATGCTCGTCATCCTGGTCAACACCAAGTGAGTTACTGTTACTGCAATACTGACCCTCAGCTGTAGGACATGTTTGGGCTCAGATCCAGTCCAAGGACCAGTCTGGTCCCAGTCCATGGTCTGGTTCTGACTGAGTGAATGTTTAATGTTTTCACAGAGACTCCATCATGGCTCAGGAAGTAGCCAGTAAAGATGACATCATCAGTGAGTCACATGTCCTCTCATTTCTTTTACTGTAGAGTTTATTTGATTATTTTTTTCTGGTGCACTCACGCCACCTAGTGGACCAGTTTTGTCAACACAACTAAGTTTTAGTTTTAGTCATCAACATTAATTGACTGTGTTGTATTATTCATGTAGTAGTATTTATTAGTGTACTGTTACTGTCTGACAACAGCAGTATTCATTAAGGTATACATGGACAGAGTACTATTAGATTGTTACTTCATTTCTGTAGTAGTACTACAACCAAACCAGTGCTGCTGATTGGCCCTGTTCCGGTCCAGTGTTTTTAGCTGACCAATCAATGTCCAGATCATTGTTGATGTTGAAGCAACAACTGTAGATAAAAGGTTCAAAGAAGATCAAAAAGACTACAAATTTGAAAGAAGGACAATAGAAGATTGGAGAGAACTTTCTAGAACACCTGTGTGTGTGTGTGCGTGTGCGTGTGTGTGTGTGTGTGTGTGTATGTGTATGTGTGCGTGGGTGCGTGCGTGTGCGTGCACTTCAACCCAGAAACCCTGGAGGAGTTTCCTTCTCTGCTGGAGACCGAGGACATGGACGACCTGTTTTCATTGGCTCAACATTATCAGAGTAAAACTCCTCTGTCTCTGAGGAAGGTGAGTGACTGAAGCCAGGGCTGCGTCATTATTTCTATGACATCAGCGCGACCTCTGACCTTCTCTGCTCAGATGAATCAGAACCTGTTTGGCAGCAGCCTGGTGGCGCTGAAGGAAGAAGACTCAGATCTGAGTCAGGCTCTGTGTCTCCCTGTGTCTGTACCTGAGATCCTGCAGGCCAACCAGCTGCAGCAGGTGAGGACCACTGGTGAGGCAGCAGACTATTGGAGGATGTCCAGGAACTTTTAGGACTTTTCTGGACTGAACCATCAAGTTGTTGGTCAACAGTACCAGATGTTTAGTGTTCCTACTGCTTTACTTCAGAACCATTGAAGAACTGTTGTGTTCTTCCTCTGTGCGTTTCCTGCAGGATGGCGTCCGTTTCTTCGTGGTTGACTGTCGACCTGCAGAACAGTACAATGCTGGACATCTGGCCACGGCGTTCCACTTGGACTCTGACCTGGTGAGAAGATGTTACACAGCTACATGTGTGTGTGTGTGTGTGTGTGTGTATGTATGTATGTATGTGTATGTGTATGTGTGTATCTGACGGTGTATGTGTGCGTCTGCTGCAGATGCTCCAGAACCCGTCTGAATTCGCCCTGTCAGTCAAGTCCCTGCTGGAAACTCAGAAACAGTCTCTAGAATCTGGTTCCATCGCCAGTGGAGAACATCTGTGTTTCATGGGCAGCGGTCGAGAAGAGGAGGACATGTACATGAACATGGTGCTG